ACCCCACCCGCTTCTTCAGGTCTGGGATCGGAGTGGTGGCACAGCGCTGCATGGACCGACTTGCCCTGGGCCCCGGATCCTGTTCGAGTCGCCTCTGGCAACATATATTTCTAGAGATGACAGCAGGGATAAGTGGAGTTTGAGTATGGAAGAATCTGCTTTGACAATTACGAAAGCCACATACAAGCTATAGCTACAGCAAGGAAAAGATCCCCTGGTAAATGGGAGGTTTATATAAAGAAGGTGAGAGGGGCTGGGGCGGAAACCGAGAAAATCATCTTGCCTCAGTGATGCATAATGGAAGGACTGAAAAGATCTGACACAACATTTGCAGCTTAAGCCTCAAAGAGATGAAGCTCTTTTGGGTAATATAGAATCATAGAAAATGCTGGAAGGGACCTCAGGAGGTCATCTAATCCAAACCCCTGCTCAAAGCAGGACTGTCCCCATATCTTTTACTGCACCAACTGTACAAACGGCATAGAGTGAGAGAAGCTGTTTAATGCACAGCAGTCTTCATCAGCAAGCCTTAAAGAGGCACTGGAGGATTGGCATGGGACCCAACCATCCCTACAGGAGCCAACTCTGTGATGCCTGGAGACTATTACCACCCAGCTGCCTTGTGTGATTGAGAGGCAGGGGTCTCAAAGAGGGAGTGGAGGGGTGGGGAGGGGTTCAGCCAGGACGCAGGAGGGAGTGTGTTGAGGGCACCAGGCCGAGGGGAAGGTGGTGAAGAAGACAAGAGGACGAGTTACCAGACCTGACCGCTTGACAAGACATCAGGCCAAACAGAAGAGAGTGCAGGGGACGGAGATGGAGAGGTGTATCCCCAGCCCCAGCCAGACGCTGCCCCCAGCCACGACTGGGCTGTGCCCGTGCTGCTGCTAGGACTTAAAAACAGAGGGCGCTTCCTGGCCGTGCTGAGGTGGGGGTCAGGAAGAACGCAGCTCCCCGAAACCCGCAGAACAACCTGCGCAGCAGCTGCCGCTGCACCTGGGCAAGGAGAGCAGGGCAGGCGCGGGACGGGACGGAGAGGTCAGGCAAGGCCTGGGCACGGGGGGAGAAGCGCAAAGGCTGTCGGGACGCGTAGTGCGAGCACCAGGCTAGCGCGCCGGCCCCGCGCGGACCGAACTACAGCTCCCAGCGTGCCCCGCGCACACCGCCTCTCCCCCCGCCAACCGCTGCGAGACCG